AAAGAAACATTATTGACAATGTCTTTAAAATTTTAATATATCTAAAAAATAAATTTTAAAAATATTATAAACAATGTTAAACGAAATTATATTTAATTAAGAGTATAATAATATAAAGTACATTATGGAAAAAATTAATTAGCAATTTCTAATCATATATAAAGTATGAAAAAATCTAGTTGTCACTGGCGATGATACGGTAAAAGTTGTAATTGCCAATCACATCATGTAACAGAATCAAAACAAACACTAAAGTTAATTATCATTAGGGTCAGGGTTAGATTTGAGTTGGGATTGGGATAAAATATAGCATATAGTAAAATTTTGCAAGGAATTTTTTTAATTAGAACACTAAAGGTGGTTCTATAAGCGAAATTTTGAGCTATAGCTAATTTTTAAAATTTTTCTATGTTTTCTTTGTTTTTAGATTACACAAATATTACACCTGATCCTGTGGCATGATTGGCCAATTGCTACTATCATCATGTCACCGCTAGCGACAAATAGATTCGCCCATAAAGTATATTATAGAAAAAATTAATTAGCAATTTCTAAGTCAATTGATGACTAAATAATGAGTCAGTTCATTTGATATATTAAAAATTATATATATAAAGGTTAATATTCTAACTATAAATGATCAGATAATTTTATTAGACATTCAAAATGATAAAAACAGATAACAGAATTACAAGACTTAATTTTAATTCATATTATTTTGATCGTAAACAATTTGATCTTTTAATAAAAAAATTTTTCATTAATTATAAAACTTGTTCATTTAAAGAATTCGTTTATCAATATGAAAAGAATCATAATGCAAAACAAGATTGAGATTATCATATTCAAACAGTTTTCACTTTAGTAAATCAAACAAAATTGCCTAGTATTTATAAAAAGTTACAAACTAATAATGCATTAGAGAAATAGCATCATGATTCTATAAAAAGCATTAAAGATTCTATCGCATATTGTAAAAAAAATCACAACAAATGTGACAAACACAATCGAAAACCAGTTGATAGAAATAATCCAAAATGCAAAATTTAAGGTGCTGTTCTTGAAATAATTGATCCAGAAAATTCAGAAAATAAAATTTTACTTGCAATATGTCGATGTAGCTATGAAATTTTAAATGATCTTGCAAATTGTATATGGTGTACACTTGAATGCTATTCTTAACGTACTTTCACAAGATATGATTCTGAATCTGAACTATTTTATTATATACTAGAAAATTATAAAAAAAACCAAACAACCCTAATGAAAATAATCAATATACTAAAGAAAACTTTGGAAAAATAATGGATGATTTATTTATTGAAAATAAATCTAGTGATAAAATTATTGTGGAAAATGCACAAAATAATCCTAAACGAGTTGAAAATAATCCAAATCATATTTATACTTTATATCAAGCTATAAAAAATATTAAAAAAAAAGAAAACAGAAGATGCTAGAAGCCTGCAACAATATTTTTTTATAGTAATGAAAGTTGAGTTAGAAAAGACTATTTGTTTTCATTATTATTTTCAAATGCATATAAATGTAAAAGTACAGATAGAAAATTCTGGCAAGATTTTAATAGCTCATATGAAGAAGTTTTGATTAATGAATTCAAAAGCCAAATCAAATATTTAGAACTTTTAAATCTTCTTGATCCAAAAGATTATAGTGTTCAAATAAAAGGTTGTGAAAATAAAAATTTTTGCCCAAAAGTAATTAGATTTTCAGCAAATACAAATGTTAGATTTATTTACGATTTTTACAAAGATGAAGAATTAAAACCTATATCAGAACAGAAATTTAATAATACAAAATTATTTAGTTCATTTGTAAATTGATTAGATTATATTGTAGAATTCAAAAAATTTAGAGATAATAATGAAAAACTATGTTGAAAAGAATGTTCTTGTTGTAAAATTTGAATAATTTTTCATTGTGAATCACCTGAAGATTTTTTTAATTTCAAGTTTGAAATTGAATTTAATGATAATGTTTCTGAAGAAAAAGCAAGAAAAATATTAGAAAAAAAATATAGATATTTTGAAGAATTAGATAGCATTTATTATTAGCAAAAATATTATACGATTAACAAAAACAAATATATTTTTAGGCCAATTGAATCATATTATCCAAAAATTTATAATACTAAAAGAATATATCAAGATATGAATGAATATAAAGTAATCAAAAGAAAAAATTTAAAAGAAAATCCTTTAGAACATAGAGATGAAATTCTTTCTATCAAAATAGCATTTCCAGTAATATTACAAAAATTAAACAATAAAAAAACAAAAAAAAAAAGAAACCTTATATTTAAATGTTTACCAAATCAAAATCAAAAACCAGCATATTGACAAAATCATTAGACCCCAAGAAAAATTAAATAAAAGAAACCTATCAATTAATGAATTAAATTATGATTCTGATCTATATTTAGATGATTCAGATTATACCTGTAAAAGAAAAAAAGTTAAATATATTAAAGAACCAAAACAGATTAAACAAGAAAATAATAATTTCGATCAAGAACAAATTAAAGTTTATCAAGATATTATTAATCAACAACAAATTGAAATTCAACAGAATTATTAAGAATCACTCAATAAAAAAGAATCTAACAATATAGAAGAAGATAATTTTAATTACAATGAAGATTTTGAATTAGATATTGCAGATGAAACAAAAGATAAAGAATTTAAAAGAACAAACAAAAATAATCATCTTTATTTAGGATTCTCATGTATACTTCAAAAATTATAAATTATTATTATTTTTTTTTTTTGATATTAAAAATATTTTATAAATAGCAAACAAATAAATTTTTTATTATTAATAAACATGTCAATTCCTAAAATAAATACAATTCAAGAAATATTATTTAATGAAAAAAAGTGTATCGAATTTCTATTAGAAAACTAACTTATTAATAAACAACCAAATAGTTGTTTAAAATATAATAATACAAAATTTTACTATCGATATAATTTATAAATATGTAAAAACACAAATTGTAACAAGACAATTTCAATATATCATAATTCATTCTTTAGTAAAAGATGTTTAAAAAGCAATCAGATTTTATCATTTAGCTATTTTTGGGTCTCAAAAGCAAGATACACAACACTAAAATATTTGATGAGATTATTACCAAAATTGATAAAAAATATACAAAAATATTTCGTGATTTAATAATAAACACATTAACAGTTAATGATAGCAGACTAGGAGAAGAATATAAAATTGTAAAAATAGATGAATCAAAATTTAAAAAAGATGTTTCATGGTGGGTTGTAGAATTAACTGAAAGAAAAACTAACAAATGTTATTTTGAAGTTGTAAAAGATAGAAATGCAAATACTCTTACAAGAATCATAAGAAAGCATGTTATTTCAAGTACAAAAATCTATTCAGATAATTGGCATGGTTATCAGAATTTAGAAAAATTAGGAATAAAATATATTCGAGTAAATCATTCAAAGCAATTAACACAAAAACAAAGATTAAAAAAATTTATAGCAACACTATAGAAGGTAAATAAAAAATTTTAATTTTATTATTTTAAATATAAAATATATTAAAAACTATTAATAAATTAGTCTATAGAATGAAATAATATTAAATATTTTAATGTGAAATCAAAATTTTGATACAATTACACCATATCTTCAAGAATTTGTATAGCATCGAAAAAACAAAAACAGATAGTGGCAAGCATTATTAGAAGTCATCAAATCTTATAAAAATAATTCTTAAAACTATATAAATATTTAAATAAATCTTGTAATTTTTAAACAAAATCTCTTGAAAATGGTTTCAATTTCAAAAAAATTTAATCAAACTCCCAAAACTCAATGTTTTAAATGCTATAATCAGAATATTGGCTGCAAAAAATCTATTGAAAACCCTAGTATTTGTCAACATTGTTATAAAAAAGGTTTCTATTGTATTTTTGTAAAGCCTTTTAGATATAAAGATGAAATTAAAAGATTAAATTCTGTTGTTAAAAACTATAAAACCAAAATCTTATCTTTAGAAAAAAGAGTTTTCAACTTAGAAAAAAATGAAGAACTTGTAAAAATAAACATTAGTCAGCTCTTTGCAATTTATAAAAACTATTAATTTTTACCAGTATTTTTTATTTTACTATAATTATTTTTTTCAAATTTGTTTTTTAATTCTTAAAAATCAATATTTTTTAACAAAATATTGTTTTAATATTATATTTTTCTTATTTTATCAATAAAATTAATTTAAAAATTAAAATTAAAAATTGTGATTTAATATTTTAAAATATAAAGGATTGTATTTTTTTTTAATTAATAAAAATGAATTGGCAAGAAAAATTTAAAAACTTTGAAGTTTTGTCTAGCTGGACTAAACTACTAATTATTAAACTACAATATAAATCAAACTCTTATCGAATTGTTAAAATTAATGCAACATTATTTCTTTAAGTTAAAATGCAAAAATCTAATATTTCTTTTTTCTGTAATATCGACAATTTTGATTTATTAAAAAATTTTACTTGAACTGCTTTTAAAACAAAAATACTTATTATATCAAAACAATAAATAAAAAGAAAATTATTCTTTTTTATAGAATGATTTATTTAAATTACAAAATGATTGATCATAAAAATCCAATAGGATTAGATAATAGAAATGCAATTTAAGAAAAACAACAAAAAAAGAAAATGTTTTAAACTGTAAATTATATAAAAATAATTTAAATAGTTATAACGGAATTTCTTTTAATAAATTTAATAATGCTTGGAGGTTTTATTGATATGAAAATAATAAACGTAAAGCAAAATATTTTTGTATTAAAAGAAAAGAAATAGTGAACAAGAAAAACAACAAGTAATTGATATTAAATTAGTACATAATCAAAAAACAGAAAATTTAAATAGAAAAAAAATTGTTTATTAAAAATAATTTATTTTTTATTTTTTTTAAAAAAAATATATATAAAAATAACATCTAATTTATTTTTATAATAAATTAAAAATGCTAGCTCAAAAATTATTAATTCTATTTTTATTAATCAATCAAACTCTTGTGTATTGTAGATATTTCAATGATAAAGAAATAGAACCAAACAAGATTTCAAAAGAAGATGCTATATTAATTTGTAATCTAGCTTTTTATCCTTAAAAATATTATGAAATTGATTTGTTAATCAAAAAACTAAACTTGAAATTATCAAACGCTTGCAAGTCTTAATACTGAAAAAATATTTGTCATTATTAAAAATTCAAATTTAGATTTAAAACTAAAAATAAAACTTCATAATTTATGTGCAAGTAAATTTTCTTACTTTAGTTTTATCAAATTAATTCATCTAGTAAAAGATTTTGAGTCCTCTTTAGAGCTAAAAAAAAGAAGTCATACAGATAAAATCTTATTTGAAGATGATAAAAAAAAATAATCAAGTTATTAAATTTAAAATTATTTAGTTTTATTGAAGAAAATAATTTAGAAGAAAAAAAATGATTTTAATATTATTATTACAAATGATAACAAAAAAGAAACTTATTTTTGTAAAAATAATTAAATGATAAGAATTGCTATCAAATCATTTAAATTTATTTTATTTAAAACAAAAAAATTAAATATAATCTTTATTTTTGTTATAACTTTATATCAGAAATAAGTCCTACTTTTGGTATTTTTTATATAATCTTTGTTGGAAATAAGTTGCTTTTCTGTAATATTTTTCTGGAAACTATTGAATTTTTCTTGAGTTATATATTTGTTTTACTTGTATTATTCATTTGAATATTATTTGAGTCAATAAATCTACCTTTTGTCTATAAACTTTGTTGGTTATAACTTTTCTTTATAAGTGTTGCCTTAGCAATAAGTTGACAATATTTTATCTTATTTATAAACTGTTTTCTTTCATAAATTATATAAATACATTTCTTAACTACTTGAATACTTAGTCAAATAAAGTAACTTGTTAACCAAGGGTTTAACTTGTTATATTACAACATAAAGATTTTATATAGTTAAACAATCATTTTTTGACAATATCTTGCTATTCACTAGGCCGATTTGGATAATCTGACCACTGTCAGATGTGTCTCAATAAGCTCTACAACTTTTAATTAGTAGACATATATTATTAACTTAGTAAGAAAAAAGTTTTAGATAGAAGCATACCACATTTCACCGATAGTGATTTTTATAAATAATTTCTGTCACAAATTTTTATATAGGCAATCAATTGGTTTTCGACAATATCTCACTATTCACTAAGCCAATTTGAATGATCTAACCACTATTAGATGTGTCTTGATGAGCTTTACAACTTTCAATTAGTAGATATGTATTATTAACTTAGAAAAAAAGTTTTAGATAAAAGACATCACATTTTGTCTATTTTTTAGTTAATAGGTAGATTATTAATTAAATGACTATCTATTTGTAATAGTACAAATAGTGATTGTACTCAGATCAAGTATTACTCAGATTACTTACAAATAATCAGATAACCAGGTAATAACTATAGCTACTCGGGTAGATACACCCAGGTAATACCCGAGTAGATACACCCAAGTATTACCTGAGTAAGTATATTCAAATAATACCTGAACAAAAATACTTTCATTGAATATATGCAGAGATTATACCTGAATTGGGTATTACCCAAGTTAATCAGTTACAGCTGTTTTTATAATTTCTAAAACACCTGATAATATTTTGTCAAATAGTTTATTGGCTGATCTGGTTAAGTTATTGATTTTAGTATAATCAATATATAACGATAAATTACAATTTATGTTATTTATATATATATTACATTATAATTTGAAATATATAAATTTTCGCACAGATTAAACATACTATAGCACTAAATATGTTAGACAAGTATTTAAACAAATTTAGTAATATTGAATGTGTTGACATTTTATAATGCTAAAATTTTATTATAGAAAGTATTATATATAATGCATATGTCTTTTATATATATATAGAGATATAGGGATATATCAGTATATAGGGTGGAAATTTGCATATAAATTTCTAATATGTAATTTTTATTATATAAATAACGTTGACTAGAACTGGCACACAAAGTCAGCAAAATTTTTGTAATGCAGGTTAATAATCATGTGCCATTGTATTATTTAATATGTATTTACATACGTACATATAATTTGTAATTTTATTGAATCTATTATGCTGAAATAATAACTTAACTGGAACAATCAAAAATCATTCGGCAGATTTTTTATCAGATATTTCAAAAATTGAACTATCTGGATAGATTTATCTAAGTAGCACACAAATAGATTCATCAACAAATATAAGATTTGATTGGCTACAATAATTCATATAACCAATCATATGACAACTTACTCGGGTATAACAAGTAAGATTTTATACTCAGGTATATCTATTGATTACCTGAGTAACCCGTAGATTTACTTGCCGGTTAACTGAGTAACGTTTTTTGACCAAGTACAAATACTAAGTGCAAAAGCAGTACTAAGATTATATCTAGATCTATCATCTTCATCACTTATATATTTTAAATATCTTAATAATTTATTAATATTTAATGCAGTTACAAACTAGAAAAATACTGTATTAAATTAAACAAATTAATTTTCTTATAAATTATATATATAAATAAGACATCATTATTTTTGATTTTCTATGTAAAATATAATATTTTTTTATAATCACATTCTGAATATTCAATTTGTTTAATTTTATTATATATAATATTATAATTTTAGAAATACAAATTATTAACTCTAAATTTATAGATAAAAACTCTTTTTAACAATTACCAAAAATTACAAAAAATAACAAAAATAGAAGGAAGATATTCAAAAAAAACCTAAATAAAGTTAGAACATAGACAAAATTAGTATGAAATATAAGAGAACAACTAATACAACAACTAATACAATAACAAAACAACAACAGTACAAAAAATACAACAAGAAAACCAAAAAAAACAACAACTAGTTCTCAACAGACTTGGTAGAAGAAAACAGTTTGCAAGAAGAAAAAAACATATATATATCAGTATATATACTCAAGCTACCAATAGACTACAGTATAGACAACCAATAAACACAGAATACAAATAACAACTAACAAACTTCAGCTCAAAGTAAAAAATGCTGCTACAACAATATATCTATTTTTATAACTTGCAAAAAATCAACAAAAAGTAGGCAAAACAGCTTATTTCTGCCAAAACATACTATGACATCATACGTCATACAAAACAATACAACAACAACCATAACAGGAAATAACAACAACAATACAACAATCACAAGAAACACAAATACACAAAACAACACAAATGTAGTAGATACACAAATATAGTTACCAACAAACAAAACACATAACCCAACATCCAAGACAGAAAATAACACCAAAACAACATTAATGCAGATAGATATAGAAAATACAACATCTACAATCCATGACCAAAATAAACCTGGAAACCAAAATAGCAACACCCAACAAAAATCATATAGCTATATACTATAACAAAATAT